TTAAATGACCCATAAATGAGTTGATATACCGTTAAACAAATCAATCAAACAATCAATAATTGATTTGGGAGGGGCTGTTTTTTATTATATAAGCAAAGTATATGCAGCAATTTTTATGTATATATCCAATACAGAGAGAAATATTTAAATAAAACAATTTTCCTATGTCACGTTCTTCTAGGTATCGTATTCCTTCAAGACGTGCACGATTAGGGCTCGCTAATATCTTTGTATCCCTTGTGAACCCTTTTGCCGAACACAGCTCTGTTCTCTGTTCTACCATCCATACACACAAGATCGTCAAGTAGGTGGCCCGCCGCTTTTCTCCCTCCCTCGACAGAACCTGAGGGCGTTAAGTTTTCCAAACCGTCCTTACTCATTCGGTATCCAAATATGTTCATCTGTCTCTTTCTGGTACAGAGTAGAAGTGTTCATTTTGTTAACCTTTTCTTGCAAAGATGATGAGTCAAACTAGAAAAGATATTGACAACGCGTTTTATCGACAGCGTCTTCTGTTTTTGTCCTCCTACAGATAGAATGAAAGAAAGACAAAAGTTTATGTTAGGAAAATACCCTGGAAAATCTGAGGATAAGTGGGAGTAATAAATCAAATTAAATTACATTACCGCGTTGCTTACTCGCTTCGTCCATGAAATTCTCAGTATCCTTCTGTACATCCCCATTTTTCTTGCCTCCAGTTTCCCCTTCATCTTTGGGGATAATGTCCAGTATTTACTGACATACAAGAAGATTTACGGCACCAACCAACATGACTATCTCCCCACATACCAAATTAATGCATTATATTATTATTTTATATATTAATATTGACTGTTATTTCAGTTATTCTACGGTTAATTGCCTTAAAGTTTCAACTATTTCGACCTGAATATTACTCCAAGTTGTTCTTTTTGCTTCCACAAGTTTTGAATACCTGAAGAGGCTGGAGTATATTCCATTAATTTCCTGTCTTGGATTCTTATTGTGTCTAGTGTGTGTGAAGAAACTGCAAGAAGACAAAATGCATGTTTGTTAGCAAAAGGTTGAGCCCAAAGTGCAAACTGCAAATCGGAGATACCAAAATCAAATAAGTGCAAAAATTTAAATATCTGGGAAGTGTTTTAACAGAGGACGTAAAGAGCGACACTGAAATCCGAAGGTGTACTGGAATAGACAAAGATGCATTTCAAAAGCTAAGCAGAGTATTAAGAAATAGAAAAAAACTCCGTAAGAAAAAAGGAAAAGAGTACTAAACTGCTATGTGATATCTGTCTTCTTGAACTGAACTGTACTGAACAGTCTCAAAAATGAAGTGACATAAAGCAGCAGAAATGTGCATATACAGGAGGATGCTGAGGATACCATGGACCGAACGATGAAGTTTTAGAGAAAATAGAAACAAAAAAGAAACTTATACTTAAGATAGATAAGAGACAATTTAGATTTCGAGCGTAGTTAATTGGTGGGGGAGGGATTGCAAAATATGATACTCCCGGGCCAGACTGAAGGCAAGAGAGACATTGGAAAACGACGCATAGCCTACTTAGTGAATATGAGTATATGAATGGCGGAACAAGGCTTAGGTGAAATAACAGAAAGACAATTTATTAAGCGCTACAAAGGACAGGAAGTTGTGGAGGACCATGATCTCCTCCGCCCTGAGGGAACACGGCACATAAAGAAGAACATGAGACAGGTTTTCAGAATGTGAATGTCTTGCATTAATAAACTCTTTTAAGCTTTTTGATGTTGACCTGTAATCAAAAATGCCTTATGCAAGAACGTCCAATAAGTATCTGCATTAATCGTTTGGTTCAAACACTTACCCTGTCTTTTGCACAGGAGTAGAGGGTTGGTCCTTTTTCTCCAGTTTAGGTCTTATTTCCGTTTACATCTAAAATTTTCTCATTCTTTTACACTCCCAGTAGTCACTTGAGACTTAGTGGCATTGCTTGTGACGAATTGATTAAAAAAGAAAAAAACATCTTGACACCATCATCAAATTTTAAGTTTTACTGCCAAGAACACTAATCCAAAACATTATTCCATCTCTCCTTTGTTGTCTCTGTCTACTCATGTTGGTTGACAGCTTGCACGGAATAGATAGATAGATAGATAGATAGATAGATAGATAGATAGATACGAAATTTCAATGTAGGTATCTTCTTTCTCTTTATTAAATTGACGTGGTACAATCTTCTCTTGATGTTGGACTGACTTACGCTTGAGCAACGTGGAAAAAGTAAGGATCTATAAGGAAACTGACACTTACAATCAGAGACAGTTGAAGTCTATGGAACATATAATGAGGAAAGTAGATTTGGAGAATATAATATTCACAAGATATACTAAAGGCAAGTGAAACATATGGAAATAATGAGTAACCTACTTGTCGATTTCAGCTGTAAAATGATGAGACATTGCTGCCAATCTAGTATTGTGCTAAAATGCATCGTCTAGGTAACAATCGAGGAAAGTTCATCAGAACAATTACCTTGAATATATTTATAGAAAAGGCACAGTGAAGCTACATTATGGAATAGTAACTGAAGCCCAGATGCCAGACCAGGACTGATAACGTTGCAGATACCTCTTTGGATTTTATCAAGAATCTCTTAATACATAGCAGAATCACCAGACCAGTTGTGAGATTATAGTGGCGCTGGGATTAGGGGTTAAAATGAACAGTTGATTTACCCACGCCAAGAAGACTAATAACGGATTATAATGACGAGGAAACATAAGTAATTTTAACAAAACAAAATAAGGAATTAATTCCCGAATTTACACGCTTGAAGTTGTGTCATTTGCTCGTTTCGACAAAATAAACCATAAATTTTGAAAGTCCGTTGTTTTAACGAATTCTCATGAAGAGGAAATTTTCATACAACAGATTAAATTATCTGACACAAAATAAAATTAAAAAAATGATTAAAACTAAGATAAGAGAGTTCGTTGATCATAAAAGGGTTATACGGTCGCATATGTTCAAAAGGAAGCCAAGAGAAATTTTTTGAAATACTGAGCTTGCTTTGATTGTTAAATGAAACTTCTTTCAAGTGCTACATGCTTGGTTAAAAGCTGATAATACAATTGTCGGGTAATTTGACACCGGCGAAAACTTCAGCGCTGAGCGCGGCGAACAGAAACGAAACCTTTCACATGACTTTAGACACTATTCTCTCTTATTAATTTAAATTTTTTCGCCTCATTTTATATCAAAAGAATTTCGCATAGACTTCCTACTTTCTTTCCTTTCTTCTACTTGGCTCAGCGGCTAATTTCTGTGAAGACAAAGTTTTCTTTGGTCCAAAAGTAATTTCACATAGGCTTGCGAATTTATTACATCTTCTTTTGCCGGTTAGTCTCTTTGTTCTTGCTATCAAGAGTTCAGTTCAGAATTCCTTGTCCCTTACACACATCAATATACACCTGAGGTAGGCCGAAGGTGACAACGGCTTAAACGTTGTGATAACAACAACGAAGATAGGAAAATCTATTTTTACAAATGAAAATTCTCCAAGTTTTGTATCATTCAGTGATGTGGTCGGATGACCTTACAAAGTGAAGGTCTTCATCCAGGTATTCGTATTCGTTGGTTGGTGCCAAAATTAAGCGAGTTAGCTGATGAAGTCAGTTGTAAAAATCTGCTTCAGAGCAGTATGACTTGAAATGTAAACTATACCAAAAATCCAGCAACTCCTGACTGAAGATTTTTTTTAAAGTAACTTCTTGCTGGTAAAACTTTTTTTTTCCTTTTTAGCAACTGATCGAATCACTAAAATTATAATAAAACTTTTTCTTTGTTTACTTTAAAACTTATTTGGTCTTCTTGTTGTTCGCTTTACTTCTCTTTATATTATTTCTTTTGTAGCATATATGACAAATAGTCCGAATTTCAATGTAAATAACATTTTTCATACGCATATAAAAAAAATTTTCATACGCATATAAAAAAATTTTTCATACGCATATAAAAAAAATCTTATTATTTTCTCAGTCAGTATAAGTATATTTTGGACGAGTCCATCTTATATAAAAAGGGAAAGCCCCACAACAATATATATATATATATATATATATATATATACATATATATATATATATATATATATATGCATGTTTCATTAAAAACGACAGACAAGGTACTACGGTTGAGCTTTTTATTTAATTTTTCTTGTGTTCTGACAAGAGCTTTCTTTTCTGGACAAAGAGTGTGTAAGAACTGTCCGAATGTTCTGTATTTCCGAGCGCTTTCGGCTATACCTTTAGCCATTATCAAGGATGATTCAATTATCAGCTTAGTAGAGTGTGTGTGTTCTGTGTATGTTCAATGTGTGGTAGTGATGTTTTTTAGTTTCCGAATACGGTTAGCACATTGTGGCTTTGTTCATAGTTAATATTGTTAAGAGTTGGCTTTTTCTTTTTTATTATTAGAGCTTCCATTATTTTTAGTCTTTTTTTGCAAGTGGATGCAGTTAATATATTTGTGTCTGTCGTTTTTAATGAAACATGCATAAAGGAAGGATTGCTGCCTAAATATACAATATATATATATATATATATATATATATATATATATAAATTAGCAACAATACCTATTTATAGCAAAATGACCAGCAACACATTTTACAGTATAGATGAAGCCATAAAATTCTGTTAAAATATTTAGATTTCGGTATTAAATAACTCACACTGGTTGTTATGCCTCTAAAGAAAACCAACCAACTAACCAACTCTGTGACCTTGTACCACACTAATCTTAGTATATTTTCACTAGTTTTCTGATTGCCGAACTAATTGTCATCAGTAAGCCGCTTCAATTATCTTTTCTACGACAACGCCGTTAACGTACGCCGCCTACTTAGAAAACAACAATTTCATTTTTCCTTTTACCGGTACTCTATCTTTCTTAAACTATCCAACAAGTTTCAAAGCCTCAACAAGTGAAAATAAAAGCTTAGCGCGAACGAGGCGTCAGATATTGGTATGTAAGTTCCATGTCATTGTCCACCTATAGTTCGCTGTTGATCGTTGTCAGTCGCCAAACTGGTCGTCGGTGTACGGCACATAGATCTCACTCGTCAGCAGGTCTCCTCAAAGTCTGTGCCTTGCAGCTGTTCCAGTCAGTAGTACTGTATTCTTGGAAGACTCTTGATTATTGTATGAAGAGTCGGACAGAAAAATAGGGAGCGGGGTAGCGGCCGCGAATCGAAATACAAGGGTAGAGCTGGTGTAGACATTTTTACAATTGATTGTTCGACCCACTATTTGCGTATACAATGTACAAAAGTGATAACTTGAGTGCTGGTGGAGGGTGTAGCGGAAAAGAGGAATAAAGGAAACGACATTGAAAGATTGATGTTGGGTGGGTCGGTAGTCGGGTAGACTAGACAGTGTGAGGGTAAGTCTCAGTGTGAGTAGTTTATGGAGCGTTTGTGTGTTAGACTCGACAGGTCTTCGGCCTTTATTAAAATGTTTCAAGATAAATTCTTCTATTTAGCTATTTTCGTCCATTCACTTATATTTATTTCAGTATCTATTTATCTATCTCTCCTTCCACGCCTGCCTATCTATCTATCATATATATATATATATATATATATATATATATATATATATATATATATATATCAATCTGTCCTTCATTAATCTATATCATTCTGTTAATTTATTTATATCTATCTAAATATCTATCTATATATGTATATCAGTTTGTTCGTATCTATCTATATCTCTTTATATATCTATCTATATATATGTATGGAAGTATATATATATATATATATATATATATATATATATATATATGTGTGTGTGTGTGTATCACTGTTCATATCTATCTCAGTTTGTTCTTTATTAATCTTATTCTGTTTATTTATTTATTTATGTATTTATTTCTATCTCAGTCTGTACCTATATCTATCTATCTATCTATCTATCTCAGTCTATTCTTTATTAATCAATCTCATTCTGTTTATTTCTATCTACCTACCTCACACTGTTCATATCTATCTATCTATCTATCTGTCTGTCTGTCTGTCTGTCTATCTATCTATCTGTCTGTCTGTCTGTCTCGGGCTGTTCTTTATTAATCTATCTCATTCTGTTTATTGCTTTCTTTTTATCTATCTATTTATCTCAGTCTGTACCTATCTCTATCGATCTACCTATCATTCTATCTATCTATCTATCTCAGTCTATTTTTATTAATCTTTCTCATTCTGTTTATTTATATCTCGCCATCTATCTCTCAGCCTCTATATTTATCTGTCTGTTCATATCTATGTATCTATCTATCTAATAAATCGGCCCATTATCTATCTATCTATCTATCTATCTATCTATCTATCTATCTATCTATCATATGTGCGTGAGTGTGTGTGGAAAAAAATTGAAATGTTAGAAAGGTGCGTCCAAATCTTGCTATATAGCGACAATAATGTTAAGAGTCGAAAACGCATCTGCTATTTTATATGCAGCATTTATGATACATGTAGGCATTCAAAATGAATAGGATTATAATTGTTTTGCGTTAACGGTTTCACTGTGTAGCTTTTCAAATGTTTGTTTTTAAATATAGTTTTTAAATGATGACCGCATTACCGCGTGTTGCGCTTGACTTTCTCTTGACTTATTATTTTCCTGTCTCACTGCCAATATGTACTCTTTTTTTTCTCATATATGTCTGCATCCTTGTGAAGAAGCTCCATTTTTTTTTTCGTTATATGAACTGCTGTCTAATAGGACGATATCACTTCTTCTGTCAGGTGTTGTGATCAGGATACTTTTGGTTTTTGATAATTTCTCAAGCAGTCGCAGAGTTTCGTCTTTTGCACAATCACAACCCCTGAAATATAGGGGTGATATCGTTCTTTTGGACACCAATACTTATAACGACAAAAGGGATCCAGAAATTTATGAGAAAGTTCAAGAACATTTATTTTTCCATCTTTTCCACTGATCCTGCGTTATCAGTACTTCGAGAAAGTGCAGATGGTCCTCCATAGTCTTCACCACTATAAGCAAATCTTCTCTCTGTATTTTCTGACAACTTTCATATATATATATATATATATTTAGTTTATGCAAACTTAGGTAATCCGTATGGGTAGACCTGAGGAGGATGATATCCAGAGAGCTCAATGTAAAATTCAGAGCAGATATGTTTGAATAAAAGACAGACCACGTTAAGATTCCATGTAATAAGCTATTTCCCCATAACCCCTTTAACAGGGTTCTGAATCATCAGACTTTACTTCCAAAAGCTGAAATGAAAAATAAAAAGAAATTCACACGTTTTGTTTTTTGTTTTTTGTTTTTTTTTTTTTTTTTTGTAACCTCTCCAATATTAATATAGGTAAATACTTCATAAAACTGATAGAAAAACACTTTAGCAAAAATGCATCTCTGAAAAAAATATTCAACAAGATGAATCTAAAGATTAGCTATTCTTGCATGAACAATATGGAAAGAATTATTAGCTCACACAACAGTAAAATTTTAAGAGACCTTCAGGATAATCTAAGACAAAATCAGGATACAACACGAATGGAAAAATCAACATGCAACTGCAGGACAGGATCAGAGTGCCCAGTTGAAGGAATATGCATGGCAGAGAACACAATATATGAAGCAACAATTTTCCCCAAAGAAAAGGTTGAAGAGAAAAAGATATACATAGGAATATCAGCGGGAGATTGGAAACACCGACTATACAACCATCGCCAATCCTTCAAAAATAAATGTAAAAAGAACCAAGCAGCACTATCAAATCATTATTGGTTTTTGTTGGAGAGTGGCCTAACACCACAAATAAAGTGGAGAATAATATCAAGAGCCAGAACTCCCAAAAACTTCAGAGACAGATGCAACTTATATTTGAAGGAGAAAATCTTCATAATCAAACATAAAGATCCAGACATACTACTAAATAGACACAATGAACTAGTTTTTAAATGCCGGCACAAAAACAACCTAAACCTAAGCAAGTACATTGAGAAATAATCATATAGCAACAGCAATTTTGAATGTTTTATATTCCCTTTGTTTTTAGAAATATTACTATGCACACGTGAACACTAACACATGATTATATGTATACAACTATGATAATGTATTTGTACACTGAGACACCTGTTGATATGCACATGTATATGTTTTTATACGGAAAAAGAAGTATACCAGGGTTTTTTTTTTGGTTTTTTTGGGGGTTTTTTTGTGAGTGTGGAGATGTACAATTAGATAGATACTTAAATGTTTTGCCATAAATATGAAAGATCGGATAATATTATATGTGTAAAGATATAGATAATGTAATTAAATACTGAGATAGTCTTCGAACGCAGACATAAGTGGATGCATGGGTGGACATGAGGATAGGGACAAATACGTGTGTAGATATATGTAAGTGCAAATTAACGCATATGTGGGTATGTAGATATGTTGCATATTGCGTATGCATATGCATGTATGTGTGTATGTATATATGTGTGTGTATGTATGTATGCATATATGTGTGTGTGTATGTATGTGTATATGTGTATACATATAGGTGTGTAAATATATATATGTGCGTATGAATATATATGGATATGCAGATGTCCTTGTGTGTATGTATATATATATATAGGTAAGTATAAGTATATATGGAGATAGGTATGGAGACATGTGGATGTGCGTTTTCTCTGCAGGTGTATATGTGTAAAGATGGAAATATACATATGGTCGTTTCGTGTGAATGTGTATGTAGGGGTATATAGGAACTCATAGTCATATAAGAAGATATAGGTATGTGGTTACAAATAGGGGTTTAAGACATGTGTAGATAAAAAATTGTAAAAGAAGGACCTAATTTTCTGCTAGTGACATCTCTTCCAAATATCTCCTCTAATATTCTCCAATTGGAAGTGAATTTTAAATAGCACGAAGGGAAAGTTTAGATTGGTATTTTAATTGAGATTGAAAGATACTATCCCAGTGTGGAGAATAAAATTATTTAAATGGGTATAACCGTTGATAATTGGGTACATAAAAACAATTACGAGTTTACTTAATGAACAAAAATCAAAAACAATCACGAGTTTACTTAATGAACAAAAATCAAACGAATAGACGTCAACCTAACAAGCTATAAGATAAAAGTTTTAGTGAAAAAATAAAAAAAATTTAAAAAAATTTAAAAAAATTACTAAATATAAAATGGATTGCTCTTTCATGATCTGTCTATGGATTTTTCCAATCGATTGTTTCATAGAAAATACCCAAAACTCCACCGAATTTCAAATTAATTTCTTCGTAGATTGTTTTAACATTTAGATATTTATCAAACCTTAACCTCCCAAATATGCACGTTAAAGTAACGGGAACTGACAGCGTCTAAGAATTTGAATGAAACCTGTCGTGTAATTTATTGGGGTTGTTGTAACTTCTTCCTTTAATGTCGTTCTTATCATTCACCCCTTAACCATCTATATCTAGAGACGAGACGCGTTAAATTTGAGCAACATCTAGCCGACACACTGGGGTTAAAAAATAGGAAACTAAAATGATACATATGACACACTCATATCCGCTCTTCCACCTCACTTCCTCACTTCGTTAACTTTACGTATACTTGATGAGGTCCGTAAAAAACGTGTGAATTTCTTTTCATTTTTCATTTCAGCTTTTGGAAGTAAAGTCTGATGATCCAGAACCTTGTTAAAGGGGTTATGGTGAAATACCTTATTACATGGAATCTTAACGTGGTCTGTCTTTTATTCAAACAAATATATATATATATATATATATATATATATATATATATATATATAGTACAGGTAATCGATCCGTTGATATACAATCCGGGTGGACACTAGTAATATTAATTAGTAAAACTGATCCACAGAGAGCTCGATGTTTTTATTTTAACAAAGCATACGTATATTTTACAGCAAAAAAACAAATTACCTCAACATAGAGATAGTCTAATTCAAGCCGTTCTGTGCACGGCTATCTTTAAGTTGAAGTAATATTTGGATTTTTTTGTTGTAATATATATATATATATATATATATATATATATATATATATATATATATATTAAATGGTATTGCCTCTAATTAAAACTGTTTTTCCTAATCATAAGTCGAAAAGCTCATTAGAATTCAATAACTCTAGTACTTTTTAAAGAATTTTGGATCTATTTTATATTTACTGAAACTTGCCGCTTTTTGTAAATACGGATGTCCATGTATGACATTATCAGAATATAAGAACCTTAACTACAAAAAATTAGAATTTTCTTGGTAATTTTCTAACATTTCCTCGATAAGCGCCTTCGAATGCAAGACAATAAGAGGAAAATAAGATTCAATAAAATATTACATTATATATTTTTAAACAAGCGTTTTCGTCAATAAGTACCTAAAATTCAATAAAATATTAGAATGATTTAAAAATGGGGCTTAATGTCATCCCTTTTGTTGAAATTTGAGGAAAGAGGGATTAGAGAATTTACCACTCACATGATATACTGACATCAAGAGAAAAACAGATATACAGACCAGGGAGCTGCATGTATAGTAAAGGAATAAAACCTTATTAAGAAAAAAGGAAGAGTGAAAGTTATGTAGATCTATGATGATTTACTTCTTAAAGTGACACCACACATAGAAGAAAAATAAAATAATTGTTTGATTGCCTGCGACCAAAATTTCTATGTCATTCTGTATGTAAATTTTAATGTAGGTACCTCCACAGAAACGTGAGACCTAAGGATTTAAATGAATTTTTAGCTTTAATTTCAAGCTCACAGATTAAATTTAATATTTCCAACAAGCAAAAAAATAAGTTAAATTATTTAAATTTATTGGAAGGAGTTTTTATTTTGAAATTGCTAAACATCGCTGATTTTAACAACACTTTAGCCATCTTTCATCACAATGTAATTGTCTTTATAAAAAAAGCTTTCAAAAATAAGATGTTATTTTCTGAACCTTTATTTGAGGAATTCTTGCTAATTTAAAACTGAATTAATCTGATTTTAAACAAATATTACTTACTTTAAGTTTAAAAGTTCGCAGAAATGCATTTTTAACACGGCGTAGCTGGTTTTTTAAGGTGTTGACAGCTTGACCGACAGACAGAAAGTAATCTAATTTTTTCTACGGTAGAGATATCCATAAAATTTACTTGATGCGGAAGCGCATTTTAATATAATTTTTAACGACCCAATAATCTTAAAAATTTAGGAAAATATTCTCCATAATCTAATGTTTTATTGAATTTTAAGTACTTTGGCTCTAAATTTATTAAAAGTATCGCTCTTATTTTTGACAATGTCGTGTAAACATAGTTTTAATTAATATCAATATCACCTAACCTCAACAA